CCCTGCACCCCCCCAGCCACTCTCCCCCAAGTCTGTAGCATTGCCTGGAGTGGTTGGGAGTGGTGCCAAGTACAGGAGCCAGCACATTTTGTTCCAAAAGCTGGGTCTGCAGGGTCTGACTCAACCAACCACCCATGTCCTTTGCTTGGCAGGAGGGCCAGCAGCTTTCCTGATCACCACCCCATACTCACTCTGCATCTGCCCCGAGGGCCAGAATGTCCCCCTGACCTGCCGCATCAGCGGTCCCCTCGCCGACCGCCACGACCTGCTCTACAAAACCTGGTACTTCAGCAGCAACGGTGACCAGAGCTGCTCCGAGAAGAAGCACATCCGCAACGTAACCGAGAAGGAGCTGCACCACGACCTGGGCAGGCACCATGAGCCCCCAGGCAACGGCAGCCAAAAATCCCCCAGCCATCACGGGGTGGAGTTTATCCCCGACCACCACGGTGCCTTTCATATCATGGTGATGAACCTGACGTTGCAGGACAGCGGGAATTACTGCTGCTACGCCGTGGAGGCCAGGCGGGAGCACGGCAAGCCCCACACCCTGCAGGTAGCTCACGGCTTTGTAGAGCTGCAGATCCACATGCCAGGGTGCATCTGGGGCAACGTGGTGGGCAACGGTTGGTGGGGGATGCTGGGGTGCAGCATCAGGGCTGGGGAGGCTGCTGCTGAAAGGCCAAGCTATGTTGCAAGGGTCGAAGAGCAGCAGATGTTGAAGGTTTTGAATTAGGGCCAGAGAGCACTGGAACATTTGAAAAACAAAACAAAAAAATAAAATAAAAAAATAAATCGAGAGGCCAGAATGCAGTAAAAATCCATGCTACATAGTTTCAGTGATCTTCCTCAACCTCTTTCTGAGCGAAAGGAAAATAATAAACATAAAAGGAGTTGGTTGGTGGTCCAAGCCCGAGCGAGGGCTGCAGGGCTTCCACAAAACCTTGGGCAGCGGGGAGAGCTGCCCCGGGAGGCACGAGATGGAGGAGAAGGCATCTCTTGCCCTTGATTTGCAACGTTAGGATAAATCATTTTTCTTTTAGATCAGAAAAACCCTAACAAAATAAAGCCTGCGCAGCCAGGGATGGGCCCTGCTGCTGTCAGGAAGAGGGGGTCTTGCAGAAAAGGAATCTCAATGTAAGCTTCCCAGGATTAAACTCTCATTTTTGGGATGCTCTGGGCTGATTTTCTCAACATTGATGAGCAGGGACAAGCGGAACTAGTGAGCGTGGGAGCTCTGTGGTACCTGAATGAATCCCCTGAGATCTAATGCGCTTTTCTCCTCTACAGGCAGAGGAGGGCTTCAAAACTGCACGTTTCACACTGCCAGCAGCAAAGGTAAAGTGGGAATAAACCAAAAACCTCTCCCCAGAACATGACTGGGGATTTAGTGGCTGCTGCCACGAGCAGATGGGAAGGAACAGACCGGTAAAACCTCGCAGGAAGCTCTTGCAACACCTCACTTCTATCCCGATCCCATGCCACCTCGCCCCGAGCAGAGATGCTCTAGCAGGGGAAACCCAGATCTTGCTTGAGCGCTCAGACAACGTGAGGCTGTGTCTAGACGCTGGAGGTGCCCACACTTTGTTACACAGGTGGTTTCTTGACGGGTCACACTCTCTCTCTCTCCCTGTTTGCTGGCTGCTAAACGGGCAGGTTTCAGAAAAGTTGGCTTGCAGCATGGCTGGGGCCAGCCCGGCCGTGAGAACCTGTCCCCTGCTCCCCAGGAGCAGGGTTTTCTGTCTCAACCCCTCAGTCTCAAGGGCTCCCCAAAACACACACACACATCAGTATTAATGTCATACAACGAGCAAGAAGCTGCTTCCCCAGACGGATGAGCAGGAGAGGAAGGGCTCGAGTTGAACCTGCCCTTGATTTTAACGAGCCGGCCATGAGTTGGAACCAGCGCTCTTTGAAATCACTGGGAGCCTTTCTGCTGACTTCAGAGGGCTCTATCAGTGCCCCTGCTTTTCACTTCCTATCTACAAGATCAAAAAAATACCTTGGGATGTCCTCCAGCAATAAGGGACTTTGGTCAAGGTCCTAAACCGATGCCTCAGAACTTATCTCTGCAACTGGCAACGTCTCCCAGCGTGAATCCCGTGAGGAGCGGACCACCCGTGTGCATGGGAGCTGCACTGCCCCCTGCTTCTGCTGCAGCCTGAGGACACCGAGGAGATGCAAAACCAACCCTCCAGTTCTGTTCCTCTTCTGTTGCAGATATCACAGCCGCCGCGCTGGCGACAGGCGCCTGCAT